ACACCCTGAAGAGTAACACACGCCTACACCTCGCCTAACCGGTAGTAAGTCATAAAAAATAAATGGAAGGTTAAAAATCAGACTAGAAGTCCCAATCAGCAAAAGAAAAAAGAAAAAAAAAACACCACCTCACCTCTACTGAAACTTTCATCCCTACAGCTCAAAGTCCCATATACATAGACATGTTCCACTTGAAACATGGAGGAATTAATTAACTAATTTATTTTATTTATTTGGGGAAAACCCTGTTACTACTTAGATAATGATTCACTATTATAAATTTTAAATTTAATTAATTTATAAAAATGAATAAATTTTACATCAGTAAAAACAACACAGTGGATTGTTGAACTCTCTTCTATAGGCAATTATCAGTAAATCTTAGTTATGTAGTGTAACATATCGATTCCATTCGACTGTATGTTGTAGGATGCGTGTGTATTTACGGTCAACGTGTGTGTGTACTTGTATTCAACTTTTTTTTTTTTACAACCAAAGTAATAAATATCTTCTTTTGTCATATGTCATTTCTTCTATTGTTTTGTATATCACTCATCTGTCTAAGGCAGAAATACAGACTGTTTGTTGATGAACACTAACTAGTAGGTTAATTTGATAATGATGATTATTATTATTATAATTTGATGACATCTCATTACGATCACAAAAGATAATACTTTCCATTCTCTCATTGTGTTTGTCTCTTTCTAAATCAAATGAGAAACACAGAATGAGAGAGAGAGAGAATGAGGTAGAGAGATGGTCATTTAAATTTAGAAAAAATTCTAGCGAAAAAGAAGCAAAACAAACCATAACACTAAGGCATCCATCCAGTCATTCGATTTAAGGGGATGAATATATATTTATATATCCCTAGTATTATCATATGAGAGGTTAACAACAAAAAAAGGGGAGAATGAAATAGACAAGACAAAGAAGAGGTAATACAATTGACAATAAAATAATAAAAAAAAATAATCTCAACACACAATTACTTCATATTACTTGCAGGTTTTCTTTCTTGTCTAGGTATCAAAAAGAAACCAAATAAACAGCTTTATTGATTTAATTTCTAATAGTTCTTTCCTATCCTATCCCATATGTCTCTAAGTCAGTTTATACTCTTCTCATTTCACTAATCATTAGTAAAATTAAATATATTTATCACTTTGTCAAATTACTTACTTAGTTTGTTCAGAATTAACTAACTAGTCAGTCAGTTAGTCCAGTAAAGTGAGTTTTACTCATAGTCGTAGGTAGTTACTAGGATGACAAGAACCGAACCAACTTTCGATTATATTGTCAGTGTTGATTAGGAAAACAAAATGCTGAACTTTTGTTTTTCTATTTTCCTATTATTTTTATTATTAAAAGTAATACAAATTAAATTGAGTTAGATAATCTTTTTTTGTTGTTGTTTCTATGAGATGAATAAACATTGACTGACTGACTTACTTGACAGTCGGAGTCAGTCGAGTAGCAACCAGTGGGTGTTATCTAGTCTTAAAGAACAATAGTACAATGAAAGCATTGAATTATTTTTATTTATTTATTTATTTTTGATTACAGCTTGACTCCACACCGTATTTTTGGTACAAGTGTGGAATTTTCAGCGTGGAATGTCGGTAGCCCAAAATTCGCAGGCCGACCATAGATATCAGGTGCGCGTCGGCGTGGGCTCGATCCCCGGATCATGTGCATGGTCGGCGAGAGTCCTAACCACCGTGCCACCGACGCACTAATATTTTAGTGTCAAAGTTTTAACATAAAAAATCCAATTCAATAATCAATATGACCCGTTGCACAAGAGGTGGCTCTCGTGGCCCAAGTGGTCTAGTGGATAACGCTTTGGCGTTCGAAACTATGGGTACTGGGTTCGAGCCTCGGTGGGAACATCATCACTCACTGAGAAATGCAGGTACATCCAGATGACGAGTCCCAAATAGGACGAAATGCGCATCCTGGATTCCACTGCTAGTCACCATCCACCAATTGCATCCTAACTAAATGCCCAGACATCGTCAAAGCATCTGCACAAGAAGCCGACATGTCAACCTGAGACCGAGCACTTCGGTCCAATCAATCGACGGGAAAATTAAAAAATCCAATTCAATAATAAAATGACTCATTTTTGTACGCATTGATACCAAATCTTAATGGATGTGAGGACAAATCACTCGCAGTGGATGATATTGGCTGGTAGTTGCTCTAAAACCAGGAATTAGTTGAAGTTGGAATTCAGAGGTGATTGGATTGGATCCCAGTGAGGTCAGTAGTCATCAGTAAGCTTGCCTTTTAACTGGAGAGTCTAGAATTCAAAACCCAGTAGGTGGTTGCTATTGAATAGTCCTGAAATAGGGCGAAACAGCTGTTCAGTCCAACCGTGGTTTCTAGTGGTTCGCTAAATGAAATCAATCCGTCATCAAACCCAAAATAAATTAAATCCCTACTAACTAATTCATGACAGGTATTAATTAATACTGCCTATTAAGAAAGCGCTAACTAACTCTGATCTTGGTGGTGTCCTGAACTCCATCAAGAAACATTTTAGACAGCTAATGAAGTGGTTAAGCTCTACAGCATAGCGGCAGTTTGATTAAATCAGTGAGTCACCAAAATTCCCGTCCATGTCGATGCTTAAACTCCTCTACATTTCTTAGTTTTTTTTTAATCCATGAAATCCCTATATGGAATTATACACATTTTTAAATTAGTTTTCAACAAAATGCTGTACAGTTCTGGAAATGAAACTAAAACAGCTTAGGAAATTGAACCTTTCTTCATATTGAATCAACACTGCATCTAATGATGTAATAAAAATTATTAGTTTACTTGAACATCCTTTGTATGAAGAGGATATAGAATTATGCAACTAAATACTCTGAAAATTTCAGGTACTACATTTTAAAATTTTGTCTAAAATAAAGTTTTAATAGTATTAATTAAACCATAATTAACAAAAATCGAATGCTGAGAATCGATTGACCCTCAAAATTACTTTTTATTATGGAATCCTGAAAGAAATAAGGAGCAATCAAGGTAACTTCAATCGTGAATTCAGCGGGACTTCTATTCATTCAAATTTTTTCCTGGAGATTAGTAGATATTTCCATTAATTTCATAAACAAAAACAGTTGGGGGGGGGTCATTGGAAATCATAAAATATCGGTGTCTCAAGAGATGTGCACTAGTAAATCTATCGGAGATCAAGCCTAGAACTTTCAGGTTAATAGGTGAGCCCACTGACCAGTCAATTATTGAGTTGGAACCGATTGCATCACCCCTGAATTCTATTTTCTGTCAATGCACCGTATAGCGGTACCACTAACCACTGAAACACGATGAGCTTCAGTACTTAAGGAGAGTCTCAAGCTAGGACGAAACAGCTCTCTAACTCTTGATGCTTTTCAATGATTCTCCATTTAGTTCTGGTTCGTAATGAATACTCTGATAACTCAAAATGAATAGAGAATTAAAGATTTACCTAAATTATTCACAACGGCTTTTGGGAAGTTTTCAAAATCAAAATGTTCTTTACCTCTACTCATCCAACGAGATCTATTACACTAAGTAGTATCGAATATTTTTCAAACTGTATAAGACACTGTAGGTTTCAGTGTCATGTAATAGGCATTTAACGATCTTTATACTTATAAGGAATGACTTTTTGACTTAACGGGAAATTGCTTCGATAATATTGGAATAGAACTTCGATAATATGGTAGAATTATTTATAATTGTATTCCCTTACTTTCCAAATAGAACTTACGTCTTCAAGTTAGAGCTTTGAAGTTTCAGGAACAGTGGTTTTATTTTAAAGGAGTGGAGTTACTAGCTTCATTCCCAACTTCCCCTCTTTACCAGCTTTTCTGGCGGTTTAGTGAGGTTTAGCAGCGTGTTGTTCAGCAACTGAACAGTAGACCACATGCGTGGTTAGCGTGTATTCTACCGATGAACCACCGTTGCAGTAGACTAGTATTCTATAATGCTGTTCAGCATTCATTGATACAACATGATTGATTTGCAGATTACGTTTAAAAAGCAATCTGGTTTTATATAGTTGGTTTGTAAGTATTAGATTTGTTTTTACAAGTTGATCACGGGTCTGGTGCTCGCTAGTGACTTGCTACTACAGCGCGGAGTTTCGTGTAATTCGTGGCCATCTCGTAAAATGTGAGAATGGATGTCCCACCGATGACATTGGTTTGTGGTGATGCTAAAGGTACCATGAATCGGTAGAAGTTGGAATTCATGCACTGGTCATTGGATCGGATCCCAGTGGCTGAATGGTATATGAGCTTGCCGTGTAACCAGAATGTCCTGGGTTCAGATCCAGGTGGTGGGTGCGTACTGACGATGATTCCCAAACCAGGATGAAACACCTGTCCAGTACTCCCTGGTTTTCAATGGTTCTCTAACTGATATCAATCCGTGATCAACTCGGAAAAACGCAGAAAATAAATTCAATAGCTATAGAAACTTACAACCATGTCAAACGTAGGAATATACACTCACTTAATATACCATTTTACATCGCCGTTATATCACGGAGGGTTAAAAATCGAAAACCATGCCTCATTGTATTCAAGTTCACTATTTCAATATCATGATGGGACAGCTATGATGAACAGTTCTTAAATGTTTCAAACCAAAAGAAAATATCTGTTCAACTGTACTTGGTTTTTAGCAATTTACTCTTTTATGAGTTCAACAAAGAAATCAATCTTTACAGGTATTGGTTTTGTAGGGATCGTTTTTGTTTGATTGCATAGAGGATTTCATCATGAGCTGACGACAGTACTGCTGAAGAGTCCCATACTAGGACGAAACAGTTGTCCAGTACTCCCAGGTTTTCCAGTGGTTCTCTAACTGATGTCAGCTCATGATGTAACCCCCCAATGAAATCAACATTTTGTCAAGACATTTGAAAATTTCATTCGTAGAAATTCATCAATTATACGTGTTGTTATAAGTGTTCATTTTCTCTCTTTGCCTTTTAGATATATCTACATCTAAAACAAATTCAGCTCTAAAATACGATACTTCAAGGCCTATTACTTCACCTCATTCTACAAACTTCACATTCAATGATTCAAACCTTCAAGAAACTAATCAGTCGAATAGAAATAATACTACTACACAATGTGGTAAAAATCCTTCTTTACTGATATCTCAACTTCCTGACCACAGTAATGCCAATCAAATGTTTAAAAATTATACTTACGATACAGGAAGCTTCACATCACCTGGAAATATGAATTACTCTACAAATGCCTTAAACAATGAAATGTTAAGTACTTTTCAAAGTAAACATATGCCGGACTCTTCAGAGGTGAACACCAATTTAAATTATGAAGCTTCTAATTCTTTAACTGGACGAACTAATTTTACTACAAGACAACTGACAGAATTAGAAAAAGAATTTCATTTCAATCGTTATCTGTCAAGAGCAAGACGAATTGAAATTGCCTCAGATTTAGGGCTTACAGAAACTCAAGTGAAAATATGGTTTCAAAATCGTCGAATGAAACAGAAGAAACGTCTGCGTGATAAAATTTTAGGCAGTAATCATGAAAATGAAGATGTCTCATCGACAACGACAACTCCTCCGCCTCCTCCTCCTCCTCCTCCTCCACAATCTGGTATGAATGTTTCACCATGGAATCTGACAGAATCACATGTAGGAATGAATAAATTGTCTGTACAAGAAAGGAAACAATCACACACTGAGTGTACTAGTAGCACTATCGATCCTATTAGTAGTAGTACTAGTAATCCAAGTGTTTACTTTAACAAACATTTAATGGATTATAGTGCTTCACATTTATACAATCACTTATTAATTGACTCATCCAGTGCCATCCCTAATAACAACCAAAGGAACACCACAAATCCTTCTGTATAGACGAAAATTTGAGTATATATATACTTATATATCTGCTTATACCATAGACTCTTCTGGTGATCAACTACACTGCACATGTATAAGGGGATTAACAATTAGAACTTCGATATTTCTTTCTTTCTCAGTTTTATTGCTTCATCTAATTCAAAGACTGAAACAAAATTCTTTCGATTAGATTTGAAATTTTCGGCATTCCAGTTAACTACCCCTGTCAGGTGTAGAGAACGGTTCAGTCGTTGAATGCATACAGATAACAGTATCCTTATATTATTTATATTTTGTATCACAAGAAAAAAACCAAATTACAATTTAAAAAAATAGTTTACATTTCAATTAACACATTCTGAATTAAGCATTGAAAAATGCTGCTTTCCAAACTGAAAATGTTGAGTAATGAAAAAGAATTAGACTTTAATAATGATTATTAAATTAAGGACACAATAATCACATTTTATTAGTTATGATTAGTGAGTGTGCGTCGGTGGTATAGCGGTTAGGACACTCGCCGACCATGCGCATGGCCCGGGATTCGATCCCCCGGCCGACGCACTCCTTTACCTCACCAAACCGGCAATAAAAAGCCGGTAAAGAGGAAAGGTTGTGCATGAGACTAGCAACTTCGTCCTGCAAAAGTAAACACTGCTACACAGAAACTTCAAACCTCTAGCTTGAAGCCCTATGTTCCATCGGAAACGTCAAGGAAAAAAAGTTATGAATACTGAGCACTGTCCATCTTCGAATAATTTATGCGTTGGTGGTTCAGTGTTAGAATACTCCGCAACCAGGCTGAAGGTTTGAGTTCGACTCCTGACCGACACATTCTAAAACCCCTACTAATTATCTAAACGATAGTAAACCTGGGTAAGAGGAAATATTGGGCATTAGGCCAACTACCCATCACGCATAAATGACACCACAGTTACTGAAATTTCAAGCTTTGCATCTGTATACTCATTCCTCTCAGGACGCAGGGAACGAGAAAAATAATTTGGAGTTGGATTGCTTTCGGCAGAGTTGAATTTATGAAACATCCCATTACTTTTGTACTAAAGCTAAGTCAGTTTAAAACTTGTTGAAAGCCTAACGTCACCTAATAGTTGTTTTTATCGGTTAAGCTACCTTTCAGAGCCGAAAAATCTGTATGAGGTCGAACCCAAAAGGTCAGGGAAATGACTCCTTTCAACTAATGAACAGTAATACATATATCTATATGAATTTCGAGGAACTATGTCCTGTGAAGAAATCTATGCAAGGATTTAAATAATGATGTCGAATGCGATTAAAACGTTCGTGGTTGCAATCACAGTTCAATATCGAGTGATAAAACAAACCGTGTCATATCGGTTGGAGGATTTCATCATGAGCTGATATCATTTAGAGAACCATTGGAAAACCATCAAGGAGTACTGGATAGCCGGCGGTTTCGTACTTACTACTTTGGAAATCTATATCAGTACACACCCACCCCACTGTTGTTCGAACCCACAACCTTCTGGCTACAAGGTCAGTGAGTTTGTAGACCATTAAGCCACTGGGATACGCCAATCTAATGGGCAGCCTATGAATTCTAGCTTCTGCCAATTTTATGAAATAGCGCGACCACTTCGTAATGTCTTCTTCGATGAGTTAATGCCTCACCTTCAACTTGCTATATCCTACTGGTCACGGCTTCCCACTAGAATCCCAGATGACTGCCTGAATACGGCCAGTCGCTAGTGAGCATCAGATCACTTTTAAAGTATCGGTTTTGTTTGATTGGTTGGAGGTTTCTTTCACAAGGTGACATCAGTTAGAGAACCATTGGAAAACCGTGTCATATGTAAAGTAGTTTATAGATTGTGTAGATAATGGAAAAAGATGTGAAACCAATAGAATTAACAGGTTTAGGAGGCAATTAACACATCACATAACATGATGAGAATTTTAATGAGTTCTGATTAATTTAAAATACTGTATAAGACACTTGAAGCAATACCAAGAACTGTTCATAGTGAAAAACAAAAAAATAATAACAATCAAAGTTATCAGGGATGAAACAGCTATCTATCACTCCCTGGTTTTCCAAAGTGACAAGTTGTAATACCTAAAGATTAGCTATAAATCTTCTTTTAAGTAGTAATCTTCTTACCTGATAGAGCTCGTGTTCACTCAATTTTATTATAGTTGGGAAAATTATGGTTGTAAAACTCACAAAGTGTGAAAACTAAAAGCCTGAAAAGAGCAGACTAACAATACCTCAGCTTCTTCAGCAAGTGGATCAAGGACCTAGGCTTTATTTCCCTAATCAATGACTGATCTGTCAAAACAGTATCTACTACTGTGGAGTACGCTTGATAGCTTGACACCCAACTATACATATTGTTCATAATTCTGTATAATTAATCCACCTCAGATTGCTCTGTAAAAGCACTAATTTTGACTTTAAATTCCCCTTTTTTTTCATCGTCATAAAAAAATATTCTAAACAATTTAAAAACACAATAAGTTGAACTAACATATTTTTCATGCTGTGACAAATCGTCATCATCAATCATCACCAAGAGTTATTAAAAGCTAGGCATTTTATTTTTCCTACACACAATTTTATTTGCCTAATAAAACCACTTATACACATTAAAAAAAAATCCAAGATGTCAAATGAAAGATAATCCACTTATTTCTAAAGCTAAATTATGCATTCGTAAAAAAAAGATGAACAGTAAATTTAATCCCTGATTATTGAGATTCTTAAATATCAGAATACACTGAAAGATTTATTTCCACAAAACAAAACTATAAATACCACGCTTTGGATGATGCAAACTACTAGCTATCCTCGTGACTTATCAGTACATGTGTTGTAGAAATACTCTGCATAACTATGCTGTACAGTAATAGTGACTCTAGAAAACTATATCCGTATGTCACTTATGCATAAAGCCATTCACTACTGATTAAATGATATAAGTAGCTGAATACCGCTCACGTTGAACACTGACACTTGCTAGCTAGATCGAACTGATTATTGACATTGCACGGTCATTTCTCTCATTTGAGGCCTGACTCACTGAATATTTACGTGGTTCGAATTCACTATGCGTGTGCATTAGTTGCCCCTAGTTATTTATATCATTACTTCACTGTTTCTCATGTTATTCTCATGAATATACACTAATTTTGGATAATGACATCCTAATAAAAATCACTTTCGGGATGGTGACTAGCGGTTGAATCCAGAATGCGCATTCTGTCCTGTTTGAAACCTGTCAACTGGATGTAACTGCATTTTGAAGCGAGTAGTGTTCATCCCAGTGAGTCTTGAAACCCAGTACCCAGAGGTTCAAACAACAAAGCATTATCTACTAGAACAATTGTTCCAAGTTAGTCGTCAGACATCGCTAAAGCATCCGTACTGGGAGCCGATATGTCAACAGATGGCAAACATTTCCACCCAGTCAGTCAACGGGAAGATTAAAACTCACTTAAAAAAAGAACAATAACTGATGACCTTCGGTGAGTCGATGGAACAGTGGTTAGGAGTCGCGCCGACCATGCACATGGTCCGAGGTTCGATCCCCTGCCGACTCACATCTGATATCTATGGTCGGTCTGCAAAATTTGGGCTACCGATATCCATGCTGAAAATCCCATACATGTACCAAAATAACGGTGTGTAATCAAGCTGTAATCAAGAATATAAAAAAATTTTCAAAAAAATACAAAAGAGGTGGTGGTTCTCGTGGCCCTAGTGGCTTAACAGTCAACGGTTTGGCGTTTTAAAAGATGGGTGCTGGCTTCAAGTTTCAATGAGATCACCATCACTCACAGGGGAATGCATATGCATCTAGTGACGAGTCCCTAATAGGCTAAAATGCACATCCTGCATTCCCCTCAGCTGATCATCATCTACTAAATTACTTCAAGTTAATCCTGAGAAGTCACTGAAGCGTCCAACATCTCAACAAACGTTTCCGTATGATCAGTCAACGGGGATATCAGAACTCATATCAATCACATCAGGATAAGGTTATTCCTATTGTAAAATTAAAGCATCATATCGATTAATTCTAAAAACATGAGGTAATAATGTAGGACTAGAACAGTATCGAACCATTCATTTTTACTGTGACATGTAATTAATTCTTTTTGAAGTAGATTATAAAGATGATGATTTAATCTAGATAATTCAACTTGGTTAACAGAAATTAAAGAACCTAGATTTCATGATTTTGATGACTTTCAACAGAGAGTAACTTTAGTAATCTTGATCAAACTAATCCCCTCTTAGTGTTCCGGCTGCCTATTACACAATTTTGGCCACTGGAAAGGGGACTAACCCACTGAATAGCTCTGTTCAGCAGCGATTAGTTACTGGAAAATAACTGATGCTTAGATTAATCCAGCATGGTCCAGTGATTGACTTTAACCATCTGGTGTTCATCCAGTATGCTGTGTAGTAATCAGCTTCCTAGTTTGATTGATGGGTCTAATTCTGGCACACAGTCCATTCTTAAGACGAAATTGAAATTTGAATCTAATATTTAAGAAAGAAGACTTGAGTCTTGGCAAAAACGAAGGTAAACTACTTCAGAGTGAGGCCAAAGAAGGGTTTGAGTATAAAGCTTTTGGACAGTAATCTACAGAACTAGCGTACATAAATATACAGTTTATGCCCCAGAACAGAAGTAGCCATTCTTATTACAAACTAGTTCACAACAAATTACTTTACGAAGTCGAACTACTAAGAAATAAGAAAAACTAAGCACTGATATCTCTTCCTCCCTTTACCGGTTAGTAAAGTGTTTTAACGTATATCTGTTAGCTTATGAAAATCCTATGTTTCAAAAGATGCTTCTCATGAGAAAATTTCTATAACTTAAAATAATTCAAGTATATAACCTTTTGAAAAGGCTTCCCATGACGCACCAAACTCCTGATCCACACAGAAACATTGACTGACCTAATATTGGCGTTGGAAATCCAAATTTTATTGTGTGTGCTGAGTGTAGTAGTTTTCCAAACTGTTTCAGAGTGATTTAAGGTTTGCCTTGCCTTTCCGATTCCGGTTTTCACATTGTCATTCCTGCTGGCTGCCTGTGTAACAACCGAAGACAAGGGCCAGGCAACAGATCCTTTTTATTATGAAAATCAACACGTATTTATACATATTTCACATACATTATTATAGCTTATGCAAGTAGACAAGCGCAGTTATCTGATTGGCTGTTTATCAGAAGTTAGGCAGACAAACGCAGTCATCTGATTGGTTGTTTCGGGATTCCTCGACAAATAGAGTTCTCTATCTGCGAATCATAT